AAGAGACACACGCAGCTCTACATGATCACCTGCAGCGGTGAGCGGAGCAAAACACATACTAAGAGTTAGAACATCACAATTAGCTATTTGATCTACTCTGGAACTAGCTACACTAGTTATAAATATGTTTATTTACTGTCGGGTCACTTATTACAGGTTCTTCAGCGAGCTGCCTGAGCTAACGGGCTGTCAGGAGAGGGAGAGGAAAAGAGAGTATCCCGTTTTTGTTCCCATTTTATTATCCAGAATTACTGTAAACTTTTGAATAAAGTAGTTAATCTACTATTAGTAGTTTGTTTAAATGTATTACTTGTGTTGTTTTTTTCATTAACATAAAATAAATCTCACGTACCCCTGCAGTACTCTCACCTACCCCTAGGGGTCCACGTACACCCATTTGAGAACCACTGCGTTAACCCACTAAATTGTCACTGTCCATTTGGTCCTCATTGGACCCATCTCCCTGCATTTTTAATGAGCAGCAGTCTGCAGTTCAGCCATACTGAACCATGGGGTGGTCGCTCCAGAGAGGCAGGGTGCTGAGTTTCTCCTCAGTGGCTGCGTCGATGGGCCAGCCCCAGGACTTAAAGAACGCAGACAGGTTCATCTCCACAGTCTGGGAGAAGGTCACAGCATACAGGTTCATCTTTCCATTGTTGTCCTTTGGAGAGCTGATCTTGAAGTAGGCAGCAAACACTTTCTTAAAGGCATCCCAGCCAAACTTATCTTGGAGCTGCATGGAAGGAGACACAGGTAAAGGCAAATGTAAAAGGAAATATAAAAAGCAGTGTTCTCTCATTTTTCATTCACCATGTTCAGGTCAACCATGGCCAGAGATCTTTAGTATTACTAAATAAAAAAAAGAAGAGGCAGAACTGTTTCTGCTGGTTTAAAATTATAATGAATTAATAATAACATTGGTGTGCAAAGTATTATATTTTGTTCATTTAAATTGCATGCTTTTAATACATATAGGCCTGATTATTTTTAATACAAATAATCATCAAAAAATCGTCAAATTCTAAGCTTGGCACTCTGCCTTCTCTTTACACAGACTTTTCTTAAAGTGATCCTATTATACTATTTTTTAGGCATATACATTATAGGACTCAGATATATAAAAAACCTGTCTATGAAGTGTTTTGCTCAAAATACCAAACAGATCACCCATCTAGCCATGCCTCATACCCCTCTATTTCAAATAAAAGGGTGTAATATAAAGTAATTTGTTCTCACCTGCATGTATGTCTCCAGGGCCACCCACATGCTCCAGGTGTTGAGTTTCTTGCCCCCCTCAGCGTAAGTCTTTGCCCGTCCGTTTCGTTTTTCTAAACCCATAGCTCCATGAGCCTGCATACAAGATGGAATTATATGATTGTTCAACAATTACATAAAAGATAAAAGCAAAAAAGGCATTTTTGGGACAGCCATTGTTATGAAATACTGTGGTATTACATTTGAAGACCAGGCTTTTCTAGCCATTGGTTTCAGTTGTTTTGTCAAAAGATTGACTCTACCTTTCCCCTTTCGATCCCGAACACCTCTTCATGCACATACACTGACCACAGGTTGCATGTGCACTCTGTGGTGTTTGGTCTGAATTCCCAGCAGCCTCTCTGTTGGTTGTGTCCCAGTTCATGGATGGGCCCCCACAGGCCTTTCCCCCGAATATGGGCAGTGCTGACCAGCTGAGCTGCTGTGGCCTTGTGTGCCATGATAGGATAACCTGCGTGCATCAGACCTGGATTGAGAAAAACAAACTGTTATAGCAACTCCAATGTATCCATAGGTGTGAACAAGAATGGTATTCTGTCTATCTGTCTATACAGGACTGTCTCAGAAAATTAGAATATTGTGATAAAGTTCTTTATTTTCTGTAATGAATTAAAAAAACAAAAATGTCATACATTCTGGATTCATTACAAATCAACTGAAATATTGCAAGCCTTTTATTATTTTAATATTGCTGATTATGGCATACAGCTTAAGAAAACTCAAAAATCCTATCTCAAAAAATTAGAATAGTTCCTCAGACCAAGTAAAAAAAAAAGA